TGCTGCAAATCATTCAACAAAAGATGTCAATCCGCTTGGGGCTCAGGTGAACTTACTTCCACCGACCACTAAATAAAGAGATGATTCTGATGTCTGATGTCAGGGTCAAAGTATCAACGCATCAACAAATCAGGAATTTGTGGTTTGAAGGTCAGGTGCTGACTGACTCTCGCTAAAAGACTGAACAAACGAGGCCAACCGAGTGACAGGCTCCGCACACAAATTGTAAGTGCGGTTCACACTCAATATCACTCAATCAACGCGCAAATTTTCTTTGATTTCATGAACATGTGAACCATGCAACATGTGACATACTGTTCAGCTGGGCAGCTCAATCACTCCTCAATCATTTTCCACCCTGATAAGATTCTGGCGCGAATGCAGTCTTACTGCAACAAGGAAACAACCAGGTCTCGCCATTTCTTGGCCAAATCAGCTTCGTCAGCTTTCAGGCTTTGAATCTCACAGGAGCAATCATGGCACACCGCATTGACTGCCACATCTTCCCTTGGAGACACATGTCAAAATGATGACCATGGCATTGGTATTATATGTCAACATGGGGTCAACATGATTCAAAACCACTGGTGTAGGTATGTCATGTGTGAGTGTGTTGCTTGTCATTATTGCAATCAAAAGTCTCGGCAAGGTAGGGTCTGAAGAATCCAAGATAGCAGCTCAAGCAAGCCTTCTCGTTCCTAGCTGCGTAGAGTAGCCGAATTAACTGGCGGCGAGAGATCGGGGTGGTAGCAGCAGCAGCAGGAGCAGCGCTGGCCATAATGGGCAAGGCTTGTAGGAAACACAAAAATTGAGCCAGAGTTCACTGCCAGAAACCAACAAACTCAGTCGAGAACCTGTTTCAACAAACTCAGTCGAGAACCTGTTTCATGTGGGCAACAAGCACAACTGTTCCAAAAGAAAAAAAACTGCTGCATACTGCTGCTCGAGTCCTTTGTCATGGTCAGATCTTTGGCCCTTGGCCTGAGGCACAATGTTGCAAATTGCTGATGTCAGCTAGTAAATTGACATCACCTTAGCCAGTGAGTATTCTTTGGTTGGAAGTCAGGGGCAAAGCAATCTTTATTTTTTCGGGTTCTTGAAATTGAGCTTTTTGAATTTGGGGCTTGTTTGATTTATCTTAAGCAAAGCAACTGCAAGCTAGGATCAATTTGAAATCGTTTTTTGGACTTGATTTGTTTATTTGAAATTGATGTTCACGGTTTTTTTGTGTGTCCTAAGCTGAGCACCGTCATTGTTTCTAGGGTTAATTTGAACTCCATGTGTTGGACTTGGGTCTGCTTCATCTTTTTGATTGAACTAGGCTAACAAGGTCCTGGCCAAAAATGTTCCTTATCCGCGCGAAGCCCCAAAGATTAATTTCGCTTCTAGGCCAGGACCCCTTTCACCTTGAGGACCCCTTTGAACTCGTTCACGGCTTTTGTGTGTCCTAAACACCTTTGACCATCTGAAATGTTGGATGTTTGCAGGTCCTAGCCCCTTTGATGATCTTACCCTGAGCCTGATGGACTCAAAAAAGCAAATGGATAATGATGGTTTGGCCATCACTGTGATCACATGAATTGTATTTTTTGCTTTACATTGGGGCTTCGTGGGGTGCAATGTATGCAATAAGGGACTTGGTGGGTCCAAGTCAAATATTCAATCTGCTGGCAGTCCTAATGCCTCAGTTGATTAGTTGAATTATATATAGACTTGGTGGGTCCAAGTCAATCGTGCTTTAAGATCAAGACAATTCCCACAAGCGATGATCAAAACAACTTAGCTGAAAACATACCAAATTCCATCAAACAGCAACAAACGATGATTCGAAGAAGGTTGTCATCATCACCATCATCATCATTGACAACACCGTTGTCAGCATCATGATCATGATCATCATCGTTTCGTGTTGGTTTCAGTCATTCAAACTATGCTGCATTTAGCTCCTCCTAGGTTTTGAAGCCGCCAAAAAAAAGAAACAGGTTCAAGCAAACTCCAAGTCCAAAGTCCAAAGCACTGTATAAAGCTAAGTTCGTTTGCGCAAAGTTTTGCCTGCAGTTCATTGTCATCCATCCTGCATGGGCAAGCGAAAAAATGAAGCTGACTCAAATCCAAAAAACGAGTTTCAATGAACCCTAGTTCAATCAAAAGCTTGAAACAAACCCAAGTCCAAAAAAAAGATTTCAAAGTAACCCTAGGTGGCCACCTGCACCAAGCAAAATAATGAAACAAATCCAAGTCCAAAAAAACGATTTCAAATTGACCCTAGAAACAGTGATGGTAATCGGCCTAGGACACGCAAAGCCTTGGACAATGATTTCAATCAAAGGAACCAACCCCATAACAAAGCTGCAAGAATCACCTTTATTGAAAAAAACAGCAGGCAAGGAACTTCTACCAATTCAAATTCGAGTCTTTCAGGTCCCCTTTGACCATCTGAAATGTTGGTGTTTGAAGGTCCAAGCTCCTTTGATGATCTTACCCTGAGCCTGGTGGACTCAAAAAAGCAAATGGATAATGATGGTTTGGCCATCACTGTGATCACATGAATTGTAATGTTTGCTTTACATTGGGGCTTGGTGGGGTGCAATGTATGCAATAAGGGACTTGGTGGGTCCAAGTCAAATATTCAATCTACTGGCAGTCCTAATGTCTCAGTTGATTGTTGAATTATATATAGACTTGGTGGGTCCAAGTCAGTTTCATACTTAGGGACTTGGTGGGTCCAAGTCAATCGTGCTTTAAGATCAAGACAATTCCCACAAGCGATGATCAAAACAACTTAGCTGAAAACATATCAAATTCCATCAAACAGCAACAAACGATGATTCGAAGAAGGTTGTCATCATCACCATCATCATCATTGACAACACCACTGTCAGCATCATGATCATGATCATCATTGTTTCGTGTTGGTTTCAGTCATTCAGACTATGCTGCATTTAGCTCCTCTTAGGTTTGGAAGCCGCCAAAAAAAACAGGTTCCAGCAAACACAGTGGCGCTGAATTGAATTTCAGCTTGTCATGGATAGACTCCAAGTCCAAAGCGATGTAAAGCGAAATTTTGCCTGCAGCTCATTTTCATCCATCCTGCATGTTCACTTGCAATCTACCAAACGGTGGAACTAAACACAATCCTGAGAAAAGGATAGATATAGTATAGATACTTTCCACTGGCCTGAGGATATCACTTTCTGTTTGTCAACTTTCTGTCTGTTAATTCGCAATGACCAGCAACGAATATCAAAATCAGTGTCCTGAGAAAAGGCCTTGAGACTCAACCTCATGAGTGACTCACTCAAGAACAATGGCGAAGCTGATGCAAAGCTGATGGGAAGCTGATGCGAAGCTGATTGGAATTGTTTCATTTTTTTCCACGCCGCAGCTGTTGCTTTCTCCCGTCTGTCATGATGCATGTCTCACAAATTCTCGCAGACTGGACCCGGGAGACATTGGGTCACCTGAGAATCAAAACTACTCAATCAACATCGAATGCTCCTGGTCCTCCTTCTTCTGGAGCATCTGGAGCAGGAGCATCTGGAGCATCCGGAGCAGCTGGAGTATCTGGAGAATCTTCAGCAGGAGCAGCTGGAACATCTGTGTCTGGCTTGCGGAAACGACGGCGGACCTGCTCGTGGACGGGCATGAAGGAAATGAGGGCACTACGTTGCGGGCTTTTCATCCAATCAGCAGTTGCCAACTTGTAGGCTTCAGCTCTGGGATAGCCCTGCTTCACATACCACTCCTGGGCCTTCTTCGAGAACTGCGTCTTCTGCTGTTGAATGGTGCCGTTGAGTTTCAAGCTTCCAACATCAAACCGCTCTTGCTCTTGATTTGGATCACACACAGGATCCTCCGTTTTTCCCTCTTCCTCTGCATCCTCCTCTTGGTCATTTTCCTGCGGCTTTTCATCTGGCACAACCTCTGCTGCACTCCCACTGGATGTCTTAGACTTCTTAGACACCTTCTTCTTTGGCTGCGCCTCTTTCTCTTCCTGGGGCCTCTTGACTGGCACAGCCTTTGGACCCGCACTAGGTTTCTTTTGCACCTGGTCCTTCTGACCCACACCAGGTTTCTTGTGCGCCTTCTTCTTTTTCTGACTCTCCTTCTCTGCCTCAGACTCAGCATCATCTGGTTGATTGCATTCATCACCTGTCTGAGCCTTCTTCTTGGCTGAACCCAAAACCTTCGGAGCTGCAGCAGGCCTCTTCAACTTGTCAGGCTTTGCCTTCGATTTTGCAGCTTTTGACTTCGCAGCGACTTGTGCAAGTTGGGTCTCAAGAGACTTTCGAATATCTTCACCTTTCTCATTCTTCTCTTTGCCCTTGTCATCCTCCTGCTCCGACTTCTTGGTATTCTTTGGCGCTTCTTTCCCAAATTTCACAGCAGCAGCACTGGTCGCCGACGACTTGAAGGATGCAAAATATGATCCCAGACTAGATGGCGAATGCGACTGCGTCGCTGCCGATGGCGATGATGCTTGCCCATGAGATTGTGGAGTGCCCACTGACCCAGAGGATGGGTTCCGCAGAGCAGACTGTCGCGCAGGCCTCGCAACCTGCCCTGCAAGCATAGCATCCTCTAGTTGCTGCCAGTCTCTAACATCCATGGCAAAAAAAATGCAATGAAACCGGTTGGCGCTCTGAATCACTGAAGCAACAGCTCCGTTGGCACAATGGTCAGTCAAGCTTGCACACAGGGCGCTACATGAAACACATGCGGACTGAAAGTCTGCCAAGCGTAATGAACATGCATGAAATCAGATTCAATGTTCAAATAAGTTGGAAACCGGAAACATCAGTTCGAAAGCCCTTTTTGCACCCACCAGCCAGAGCTTAGGCTTTCTGCAAAAGCCACGCACGCCACTTGCTTCAAAGCACCAACGGCGCTTCGATTACAGCAGTGACTGTCCAAAAACCAAACACTTCCTGCAAGGCACCAATCACGCTTCGATTGCAGTCAGTGAGTAACCATTGAGAGCATGGCGCTGTATTGCACAGTTACACGACTCGCACCACCTGGCCCTTGCCCAGAGGTACATTCTCCCGCAAGAAGATTTCCGGCTTCTTAGGGACCATCATGGCTTGGGCCTCATCAATCGTGATGGTCCAGGTCACAAGGACTCGTGGAGAGTCCATGATGGCCTTTTTGGGGAGCACGTTCAACAGGTTGGAGGCGCGGGCATTCTGCATCTCAATGGGCTTGGGGCGGAAGACCCACTTGACAGCACTCTCCTCACCATCCGCAGCAATTGGGGCAATCACAAAGTGATCCACCTCACCACCAGTCATTGCTGCTCCCCCAGGCCTGGCACAAGTGTGCCCCCATAGCGACAAGTCAATCACCCCCGATGCCTCAGCCTCGTGTAGGACATCACAGATGGAAGCTGGCTCAAGGTTGGGGTTGCCAGGAACCTCCACCACAACCTGGGCTTGCTATTTGGCTATGGCTATGGCCCACAATCCACAGTATCAATGCAAAACAAAAGCTGGCTTGAGCAACCCCTTGAAAATAATCATACATAGCAAACCAAGCTACTTTCACCAGGTCAGATCGAACCTCGAACAGGTACAAGCTCCTTTCCGCTTCATTTGCCAGGAGCCGAGTGCTCTTTGGAGGTTTGAACCAGTCTGATGCCCCCACCTTGAACACGGGCTTGTTGGTCGGGACTGTCATGTCCTCATTGGCCTCAAGGTAGATAGTTGGATTCTCATCACCCTCCGACTGGACAATGTGCAGTGAGAGGTTCTCAATGTCACTGGTGCATGTGTGGGTGATGTTCTTCAAAGATTCCTTTGGCTTTGGCACCCAATCATCAGGGAGGCTTCCACCACCAGCCACGCCATCCGCAGCAGCAGCAACCGCCGCCGCTGGCTCAGATGAGCCCCCGGCCCTGAGCGCCTCTGGGGACGTCAGTAGTTCGTCGCACTTCTTCAACTCCGCAATCCACTCTGTTGCGTAGACTGGGTCGCTGCTCCATTTGCGTCTTACCTCTGCAGGTATCTCTGGCAAAGCCCCATTCATTTTCATGATGGTCAAACCAGAAATTTCTGTCCCCCTGAACTTCTCCACCTCATGCTGCGGAAGCTCTGCCTCAAACACAAGCTGTGGTTTTGGCATCAGTTGGTGGTTTCCAGTCTTCCAATCCAGCAAAAGGCTGCGCGCCAAGCGGGCCTCACACATCTTTCCACTCTCTGTGTCCAAGGTCAGGCTACAACACTTCCAAGCACTTGGGCCCTGAAGATTGGCGCGCAGGCAAGCCGTTTCTGGGCCACCCTCATAGGGTGTCCAGTTTAATAGGATAACCACATCAGAGCGCTTGGTGAGAAGCGGCTTGGGAACGCCATCCGATGTGTGAAGAAGGCTGTCGAAAAGGACAGCAGGAACGTCCTGACCAGCCAACAAATTCATGGCCCTCTTCTCCAGCGACGAGTTGGCAGCAGTGGTTGGAGCGCCAGGCTGAGGAGTGGTTTGGAGGGCATAGTCCGAGGGTGGCAGCCATTGAGCATCCCGCATTGTGGCACGGCGTCTGACCAGATAGCTGGACGCAAACAAAGAATCTTCACCTGCAGCCTCTGGAAGCAACACATATACATCGTAGCAAACCTGGCGCGAGTCATTCCCGTGAAGTGGGCCTTCATTCATCTTCAAACTGGTGAGAACCGGTACAAAGCCCTTGTTCTCTGCACGCATTTCCAACCTCGCTCGCTCTGCGCGGTCTCCTGAGGATGAGGTTCGATAGCAAAAAACTGTGGTAAAATCGCGATTTGCACGCGTCCGGCGCAACCCTTTCGCACGAAATGAGGTTTGATCGTCCAAAACTGGGGTAAAATGGTACTTCTGTGTGTAGAAAAGTCTGTGTAAAAGTGTCTGTGTGTAAAAGCTCCTGTGTGTAAAAGCTTCTGTGTGCAAAAGCTTCTTTGTGTAAAAGTTCCTGTGTGTAAGCGCTTCTGTGTGCAAAAGCGTCTGCGTGTAAAAAGCTTCTGTGTGCAATAACTACTTGTGTGTGCAAAAGCGTCTGTGTGTAAAAGCTTCTGCGTGTAAAAGCTTCTGTGTGTAAAGGCGTCTGTGTGTAAAAGCGTCTGTGTGCAAAAGCGGCTGCGTGAAAAAAGCTTCTGTGTGTAAAAGGTTCTGTGTGTAAAAGCTTCTGTGGGTAAAAGTGTCCGTGTGTAAAAGTGTCTGTGTGTAAAAGTGTCTGCGTGTAAAAGCTCCTGTGTGTAAAAGCGTCAAAGCTTCTGTGTGTAAAAGCTTCTCTGTGTAAAAGCTTCTGTGGGTAACATAGACCCGGGCAAGCCGGCGGCGGAAGTTTCCCAAACATAAATGACCTATAGTTCAAAGACAACCTGTCCCGACCGTGTCCTTCCCTCGACACTCCACACCTCACACTGCACACTGCACTCTTCGCACTTCAAACTTCAAACTTCACACTCCACACTTCACACTCCACACTTCTCACTGCTTCCTTCACACTTCACACTTCACACTGCACACTTCACACTTCACAGTCCACACTTCACACTTCACACTTCACAGTCCACACTTCACACTTCACACTTCACAGTCCACACTTCTCACTTCGCACTTCACACTCCACATTTCACACTTCTCACTTCTCACTGCTTCCTTCACACTCCAAACTTCACACTTCACACTTCTCACTTCGCACTTCACACTCCACACTTCACACTCCAAACTTCACACTTCACACTTCTCACTTCGCACTTCACACTCCTCACTGCTTCCTTCACACTCCTAACTTCACACTTCTCACTTCGCACTTCACACTCCACACTTCACAGTCCACACTTCACACTTCTCACTTCTCACTGCTTCCTTTCCACTCCAAACTTCGCACTCCAAACTTCACACTTCACACTTCTCACTTCGCACTTCACACTCCACACTTCACTCACACTTCACACTTCACAGTCCACACTTCACACTTCTCACTGCTTCCTTCACACTCCAAACCTCACACTTCACACTTCACACTTCACACTGCGTGTTTTCTGCCATCGCGCGAAGAAAGAGTGTGAATTCCTCAGGTGATGCTTTAAAATGTTTTGTCAAATTTTTGTACAACTTATCGTCTTTCTCTGCTGTCAGGCTATAGACCTCGCTATGTTCTGGCAACACTCCGTCACGAGGACGAAAAACAAACTCCTGGTTCTCTTGCAAAAATTGCTGTAAAGCTTGCTTTGCAGCCGCAACCGTGTGGAAGCCGTGTTTGTTTTTCCCCTTTTTCCCTTTCCCTTTGCCATCACCTTTTCTATTTACTTTACCTTTCTGTTGAACATGAAAGCCATGCATCTGTCCGCCGCCACCTTTCCCCTTTCCTGCGCCCTTGTAAACACCTTGCGGCGGTCCATGAAAGTGAAAGTTCAGGCCGTCAGGGTACGGCGGAGGCACAGGCGGAGACATGTGTTGCGCAACGTCAAGCCAGCTCCGGCCCGTTGACTGATTGCTCGTGGTTTCCCAGCCGGTAGCCCACAACGGCGTGCCGGTCTCGGATGACGTCGGCGTTTGCGCAGCTGAGCTGCTCCTGGTGCCCGGGTGGGCCCGTCCGAAGTCTTCTATCACTGCCCGCACGGTGGCCGCCGACATCCGACCTTCACGGTACGAGTTCACAAGCACTCGTAGCTCCATACGAGCACTCTCGTCCAAAAAGTTTTGCATAGCAGCAGCCAGACCCAGGATCACCTCCATGTCGTCCCTTTCCGCATTTCCGCCCATGGCTGTCCGCGGGTCACAACACCGCACGAACAATCTGACTACGAGTTGCTGCTGTCAGGTGCTTCTTCGTCGAACGCCTATGGAAACAAACATAATGATGAGATTCACATCCTTTTGATCGAAGACAATAAGCGTGTCCGTGGGTCAGAACACTGATCTTCGTGAAATTCACATCCTTTTGATTTTCGAACAATGGAACCACAAGTTGCAACTGAGTCCGTAGTTCAAGTACTTGAAACAGAAACATGTGTTAGCGATACCATTTCTCGAATGCATATGTACCAAAAAAACATCATGTTTGTTTCTGTTAGTCTTAACACATGTGTAGGAAAAAATACCATGTCTGTTTCTGTGAGCCATAACAAACCGCCGTGTAACACTGATACTACAGCCACAACCAAGAACACTAACGCCGCGACTTCTACTTCCCATTGTCACTACCAGGTCTGTCCCTCCTCAAATGATCAACACTGAAAAATTTTTCAAGGGGATTGAACCGTTTTGGTTGGGTGGGGGGGAAGCGTCAGGGTACCATACACTGGGAAAGCTCAAGGGGATTCAACCCTTTAGGTTAGGGCGAGGGGGAGAACCATCAGGGTACCATACAGGGCTCTTTCATGAGCAGTTACGTGGGGGAGTGAGTGAGGTGGGGTGGGATGATAACGTTCATGTTCCTATGCACACACAAGCACAGCAACCTCATCATCTTTCTTGCTGTTGAGCAGAAACAGGCACAACTCTTTCATGATCAGTTACCGGTGGGGTGGGGTGAGTTCATCACGCTATATCCCAAGAATATATATGTATATATACATATTATATACATATGTATTTCTTAACTGTTGTTGTTGTTGTTGTGGTTGTTGTTGTTGTTGTTGTTGTTGTTATTGTTGTTGTTGTTGTTGGTTGTTGTTGTTGTTGGTTGTTGTTGTTGTTGTTTTGTTGTTGTTGTCATGCCTTGACATGGCAGGAAGACGGCTAAAACAGGCCAGGGTCCTCAAACATCCCGTCGCGCCGTTTTCCGTACGTGCATTTTGTATCATTTTGCGCAATTTCATTCTCATCACTTGCACTGAAAAGTCATTTCATGTTCCTGTGCACACACAGGCACAGCAACCTCATCATCTTTCTTGCTGTTGAGCAGAAACAGGCACAACTCTTTCATGATCAGTCACCGGTGGGGTGGGGTGAGTTCATCACGTTATGTCTACAAAAACAAAAAACTATATCCCAATAATATATATGTATATATACATATTATATACATATGTATTTCTTAACTATTGTTGTTGTTGTTGTTGTACGGGGATAAGACTATGTAATTTAGTACACGCACTAAACATGCCGAGAAACCACAAACATGGAAGGAAGACGACGCAGGCAGCACGTAACTGCATACCCGCGTGAGGCCAACATGCCGGTAAGACAAGCTTGCACGAGCAAGCCGTCATAAACATGCCAACGCAAGTCTATCAAAGCTTGAAGCATCTTCCCTCAGGAACATACCTCCTATATTTTCTTATTTAAGGATTATATTGGGGTTATTTCGAGACTATATTGATTTAGTATTACCCTATTTGTTTCAAATGCAGATGGAATTCAAATCAACACTTGTTGGGTTTTACAATAAACATGAATCAATGTTTGTCACGCTCTGGTGTGTTAAGATTTCCTAACATAGGGGGTAAGTCAGAAAAACCTGATTTTTCTCGAGTGAAACCAACTTACCCCACAGTTATCCTTAACTGACTCTACCTACAACTGTGAATAAACCAATCCCAAACATCCAAGTCTTGCCATCCGACCATTCCACCGACTATATAGAGGTATATTGGAGGCATGTCCCCGAGGGCAGATGAAAATTCCTTTGGGTCTAGGTCTTGAGTAAACATGACATATAAAACATGTCTTGACATGTCACCAACACGCACTAAACATGCCGAGAAACCACAAACATGGCAGGAAGACGACGCAGGCAGCACGTAACTGCATACCCGCGTGAGGCCAACATGCCGGTAAGACAAGCTTGCACGAGCAAGCCGTCATAAACATGCCAACGCAAGTCTAGGTCTTGAGTAAACATGACATATAAAACATGTCTTGACATGTTACCAACACGCACTAAACATGCCGAGAAACCACAAACATGGCAGGAAGACGACGCAGGCAGCACGTAACTGCATACCCGCGTGAGGCCAACATGCCGGTAAGACAAGCTTGCACGAGCAAGCCGTCATAAACATGCCAACGCAAGTCTAGGTCTTGAGTAAACATGACATATAAAACATGTCTTGACATGTTACCAACACGCACTAAACATGCCGAGAAACCACAAACATGGCAGGAAGACGACGCAGGCAGCACGTAACTGCATACCCGCGTGAGGCCAACATGCCGGTAAGACAAGCTTGCACGAGCAAGCCGTCATAAACATGCCAACGCAAGTCTATCAAAGCTTGAAGCATCTTCCCTCAGGAACATACCTCCTATATTTTCTTATTTAAGGATTATATTGGGGTTATTTCGAGACTATATTGATTTAGTATTACCCTATTTGTTTCAAATGCAGATGGAATTCAAATCAACACTTGTTGGGTTTTACAATAAACATGAATCAATGTTTGTCACGCTCTGGTGTGTTAAGATTTCCTAACATAGGGGGTAAGTCAGAAAAACCTGATTTTTCTCGAGTGAAACCAACTTACCCCACAGTTATCCTTAACTGACTCTACCTACAACTGTGAATAAACCAATCCCAAACATCCAAGTCTTGCCATCCGACCATTCCACCGACTATATAGAGGTATATTGGAGGCATGTCCCCGAGGGCAGATGAAAATTCCTTTGAGTCTAGGTCTTGAGTAAACATGACATATAAAACATGTCTTGACATGTCACCAACACGCACTAAACATGCCGAGAAACCACAAACATGGCAGGAAGACGACGCAGGCAGCACGTAACTGCATACCCGCGTGAGGCCAACATGCCGGTAAGACAAGCTTGCACGAGCAAGCCGTCATAAACATGCCAACGCAAGTCTAGGTCTTGAGTAAACATGACATATAAAACATGTCTTGACATGTTACCAACACGCACTAAACATGCCGAGAAACCACAAACATGGCAGGAAGACGACGCAGGCAGCACGTAACTGCATACCCGCGTGAGGCCAACATGCCGGTAAGACAAGCTTGCACGAGCAAGCCGTCATAAACATGCCAACGCAAGTCTAGGTCTTGAGTAAACATGACATATAAAACATGTCTTGACATGTTACCAACACGCACTAAACATGCCGAGAAACCACAAACATGGCAGGAAGACGACGCAGGCAGCACGTAACTGCATACCCGCGTGAGGCCAACATGCCGGTAAGACAAGCTTGCACGAGCAAGCCGTCATAAACATGCCAACGCAAGTCTATCAAAGCTTGAAGCATCTTCCCTCAGGAACATACCTCCTATATTTTCTTATTTAAGGATTATATTGGGGTTATTTCGAGACTATATTGATTTAGTATTACCCTATTTGTTTCAAATGCAGATGGAATTCAAATCAACACTTGTTGGGTTTTACAATAAACATGAATCAATGTTTGTCACGCTCTGGTGTGTTAAGATTTCCTAACATAGGGGGTAAGTCAGAAAAACCTGATTTTTCTCGAGTGAAACCAACTTACCCCACAGTTATCCTTAACTGACTCTACCTACAACTGTGAATAAACCAATCCCAAACATCCAAGTCTTGCCATCCGACCATTCCACCGACTATATAGAGGTATATTGGAGGCATGTCCCCGAGGGCAGATGAAAATTCCTTTGAGTCTAGGTCTTGAGTAAACATGACATATAAAACATGTCTTGACATGTCACCAACACGCACTAAACATGCCGAGAAACCACAAACATGGCAGGAAGACGACGCAGGCAGCACGTAACTGCATACCCGCGTGAGGCCAACATGCCGGTAAGACAAGCTTGCACGAGCAAGCCGTCATAAACATGCCAACGCAAGTCTAGGTCTTGAGTAAACATGACATATAAAACATGTCTTGACATGTTACCAACACGCACTAAACATGCCGAGAAACCACAAACATGGCAGGAAGACGACGCAGGCAGCACGTAACTGCATACCCGCGTGAGGCCAACATGCCGGTAAGACAAGCTTGCACGAGCAAGCCGTCATAAACATGCCAACGCAAGTCTAGGTCTTGAGTAAACATGACATATAAAACATGTCTTGACATGTCACCAACACGCACTAAACATGCCGAGAAACCACAAACATGGCAGGAAGACGACGCAGGCAGCACGTAACTGCATACCCGCGTGAGGCCAACATGCCGGTAAGACAAGCTTGCACGAGCAAGCCGTCATAAACATGCCAACGCAAGTCTAGGTCTTGAGTAAACATGACATATAAAACATGTCTTGACATGTTACCAACACGCACTAAACATGCCGAGAAACCACAAACATGGCAGGAAGACGACGCAGGCAGCACGTAACTGCATACCCGCGTGAGGCCAACATGCCGGTAAGACAAGCTTGCACGAGCAAGCCGTCATAAACATGCCAACGCAAGTCTATCAAAGAACTTGTTGAGGGACCGGCAGCACGTAACTGCATACCGGCGTGAGGCCAAGTGGTCTGAAAGACAAGCTTGCATGAGCAAGCCGTCACAAACATGCCAACGCAAGTCATGGTCCTAAGTAAACATGCCATAACACATGCCTTGACATGGCAGGAAAACGGCGAAATAAAACAGGCCAAGATCCTTAAACATGCCACATAAACATGGCCAACTACATGACGGCAGCACTGTCCTCGAACGTGTAAAACAGACTACGTTCTTCGTTACCCATATAGCTACGAGCTTGATCATGGAGGTGCATCAACTTGCAACATCAATCAACCTCTCATGTCACATCACATCAACTCCGCGACTGGTCCTCCTTCAACCTTCGAACCTTTCTCGTATTTTCACCACCACTC